AATTGTTGTATTGTATGCAATATTCTTCTTGACAACTCTTCAAAGTTGCTTAGATGCATTTAAATTCGTACGCCGAAATACGGCAATCTTCTTTCCCTTTGACGTAGGAGTTCCCCTATTGCGAATTGTTTCAGCGGAACATTCGCCATTGGAGCAGTAATAACGTTTGTTCAAGAAATTCAAACGTGAAACTATTGCGGCGCTCCTTGAGGAGTGCGCGTTGTGGCATAAACGTCTCCAGCAATATTGTGTCGCGCCTTCAACCATCAAGCCATTTGAACAAATATTCGATCAAAGAAATAATCTCGTAGAAATAACAGCAACGCGATGTTTGCTCGAGATCCGTCGTTTGTGTTTGATAACTTGTCACAAGATTGTGCGATATAAATATTCCCACGACAGTCGGCCGCGGTAACGGAGTGATATGCGACATGCGTGCTCGTTATTTTCGACATATTTTTACTAATGATTTGAAGGACCGTCATTTCGTCAGAACTTCTTAGAAAAACTGCAAGTACCTAAATATCTACTAAAATAGAAGGTTATTTAAAGAAATTGAATTTTCTGTGTAAAAGAAATCACTTCTAAAGTATTTCAACGACTAGCCTTCCAAGAAATCGCACATCCTATTGAATACTATGTCACAAAACATTCAAGAGCTTTTTGTTCATGCTACGAGTAAAAATAGTGCCATTAACTTTTAGAACTTATTCTTACAGTTGGGTAGGGCATATAGTACGCAGAACTGACGGCCGATGGGGCAGCAAGGTTCTGGAATGGAGGCCGCGTAACGGAAAACGCAGCGTGGGACGTCCACCTACAAGATGGACCGACGACATCGTAATGGTAGCAGGGAAGCGTTGGATGCAGGCCGCTACCAATCGATCAACGTGGTAAGCATTAGGGGAGGCCTATGTTCAGCAATATGTACATATTTTGTCTTTATTCCGAGATGTCTATGGAGTGAATATCCAGTCTATCTCTACGTTTTACATAGTTAAAAAAACCCTTTATCCCTTCTTTTAGATTTCTGTAGTAGAGTCATTGCCTCCGGTATGCAATTCGATTGGACGATTAAACACAACTTTTTTGTGTTAGTTAGATGGGCACGGAGCATTTTAATGGGGCATGCATGCACATAGGTTGTGCTTACATAGTAATTTTCAGTATAAGTGCTGTCATATTCCTCAAAACCCCTAAACTAGGTACGAGTGTAAACATATCACCGCAATAATTAAGTTGCAAAAGTATGTATCCAATTTATGAACATTGTGTAGCGCTGTAATATTTGTTCAGGCGTATTTGGTTGTAGGTTTTCGAGTAACGAAATGTCACAATGAGTAGAAAGAGCCCTTGTTGATGAAGCAGTGTTCGACACAGTGGTGAGGGGATGAGGTGAGATTGCGACCCTTCTGATTACACAATGTTGGCTTTCATCCCTTGTGCAAGTCGCGCTCCGGAAATCTTTTGTGATTCGACTTCGGTTATTGTGGCAAGGCATACTAATATGGGGTAGGTGACGCCGCTGAAATATGTGACGAGAGGAACCAAGCGGCTACCGCTCGCTGCGGTCCCGTAGCCAAAAGGGCACGTAGTTGCGTTACAGAAAATGCGTTTCGTATGTTTCATTAAGTTTTACTTGAGGTTTATTATATTTATTTGTACAATACTTATTATAGATTGCCCGCGACTTTTTTGTTTTGTTGTTGGCGCAGTGATTTTCCGCTTTTGCGAGATTTATTTTTAAACATTTTCACCTTTGGGTAAAGAAGGAACGTGGTCAGTATGTCAGCGTGGATTATCCCGGTATTTTGACTAAGGTTACTTTATTTATTTTACTACTTTTCTGACAACCATTTAATATACAAAGTAAAAGTTCTAAATGTAAGAATATGTGTTAGAGATTCTTATTAGTAGGTACATCGGTACTCATACATTTTAAGTTAACTAATAGCGTTCCGTCTGGTTCATTTGGTATTACTTAGATGTAATTACATAGTATGTTGCGATAATAAGTTCCGAGCAGTAGTGCACCCGGAGCCCGGACTTATCCGCGGCCGTGCGGTCGAGAGCTAAATTAAATTTGTGCCGCCCGTCGCCTCCATGATCTAGTGGACACCACTCGCACTCGAGTGGCCCCATAACACCATCATGCATATCGCAAATGAGCGCAGAAACTGCGTTACGTCTACCCTATCTTAAAGCCGTTTCCTCAAATCTTATAAAGAGTATGAAAACGGTCTGAAATGTGATTTCAGGCGAAATCTGCATTCTCGGGTAAAGGATTTAAGTTAGTACACCGAAAGCTCTACGAGAGTGTGTTTCTCCTCTGATAAGAATTCGTAAGAGCATAAAAATAAAAGTTCACATCGAAGGAACAGGGAAAATGTCGCGGAATAATATTTGGGATTCCCGTTTTATTTGACTGCAGACCCTCTGCGAATGGAGACAGAGATTTCCCGAGATGGCCCTATCAAACATTTATGGAGTACCTACATAAAAGGACAACACTTAAGAGCAGTTTCAATAAGTGTTCCTTGTAACAAGACCGTGACGAATGGCATGTTCATCGCTTAACCCTTCATAAATATCGAGTAGGCAGAGCTTTTACGATTGGATCGGCATTTCAGTGTTCGCTGATCCTTTTGTATTATGCTTAGGCAAGTACAAAATATTAGCAAAGTAAAATGGAATTTTCTTTGTAGTTTCGTAAATGTAGTTTTATTATTTTTCCTCTCATAAGTCCTAAGTAATGAGATGATACTTGCACATATCAGTATTTTAATATAGTTATTTAACTTTTAGGTTTCTTTATTTTGATTCGTCTAATTACAGAAGTGTACCTACATAATTAACTTCGCAAAATAGAATAGAACTGCAAGTTGACGCCGGATGCAGTTTGGTTCCAGGAATCTTTATACATTGGCGGAGCAAGACCGTTTAGATATCGATGCGGTTTGGCCGAGCGCGGGCGCGAGCGACTCGTATAAATGCAAATGAGCCGATTGTACTCTAGCCCTGATTAATTTGAAACATTCACCAGTTCCCACTCGCATTTAATAGGTTCGCTTGAGTTTCATAAATGCCCCTATTTGTTGGACAAAAGAAAAAAAATATTGTGCTACGTTTAATATTTAAAAGTTGCGCACTCTGCCCTTTGACTTTTTGTCACATCGTTCATATAATATTTATCGTTCACGTAACAAAGAAATTCCATTTTGGGGCGAAAGCTCAAATAGTTCGACGTTTGAATTTCCCTTGTGTAAATGTTATTATGGAGCGTTCCGCTAGTATGTTGCAGGTGAAACATTCCGCAATAACGGCCAAGTTGCCGCTTCCGACAAAGTGGGATTGGCGTATAATGCCGACAAAGGAAGTGTCGGCTTGTCTTACAGCAACGCAGCAAAAGCACGGTAGCAAAAGATTGAATGAAACGCGCGACAAATGAATCGCATCGGCGGCGCGGCGTGCTGTCAGCGCGTAGATATATTAGGTAGGTGGGCACAAGTTATGCGCAGGTAGGTGGTGGCCACATTAAACAACACAAATTATTTAATAACATTTTTATTTCCCAGAACGTTTATCACCGTCAGAAGCGTCGTTGGTGTCGCCCTAAAATTCGTGGAAAACAAAATTACAAAACAACTTTACTAAGTAAGACTGATAGACATTTTGGACGTGAGCAAGCAGGAAATGGGATTTGATTGACATTTTATTAATGATTTTTATGCTTAAAATTTATGAATCTCAGTTTATAGGAAATGTAGTAGATGTGATTATTGAATGCGAAATTTTTATTTTATTAAATTAATTATGGTATATATTTACGAAAGGCGACTTTTAATTACTGCTTCTCGACTCTACCAAAGGTGACTATATGGTGACGCCAGTGCCTTTAGTTTATGACATCTTTTAAAATTCTATCTAATTAGGTTGTTGACATGAATTACTTACAGTATTAATTAAGTGCCATTAAAATAATTTCCATGCGTTTCAAAAAGTAAATAAGCATAAGTATTTGCGTTTCAAAAACCTAATACGCGCGTGTGATTATGGCGAGAGGCAGGTGCGAAATTCGCGAACAATTAAATATACATAAAATACATTCATCTCGTCTTATTCATTCTATGTTTGAATTAAAACTTTTTGTACCAGGAAAAATATTTTTTTTTAAAATTATCTAAAAAATATATGAAAACCCTACGCAGTAGTTACCGCATTTTACAGATCTTTAGTAGATACAGCTTTAACCTTTACGTAAGACAAGTTTCTTACAAAAATAGTTTTTAAAGTTTTAAAGTCAGTTCCAAATATACCGAATTTTTGATATTTTATTGTTGTTATTAATAAAAGTAGTATCAGTGCACATTACGCAAACACTAGTCCCAGACAGGTATCGCGGGCAGGTGGCTTTAACAGCCGTATTTGTCATCCGAGTACACCAAATGTTGCGATTTGTCACAAAACTGATATTTGCAGTTATTATATTCACTGCTTTGTTTCAATTTATGGCGCTACTTCGTTCTTGTTAGTTAGTTATAAATAATAACCAACGACGTTAGTTGGTGAAATATAAACCAGAGTAACTTAGTTTTGCTTATTCGTAACTTTTTACACTGGATTAGTAAAATCTCAAGACAGTTGAAACTTTTAGAGAAATAAAATCTATATAATATATATAAAAGAAAGTCGTGTTAGTTACTCCACTTATAACTCAAGAACGGCTGAACCGATTTAGCTGAAAATTGTCAGGGAGGTAGTTTAGAGCCAGGAGAAGGACATAGGATACTTTTTATCCCGTTCGAAATAAAAAAAGTCTGCTTATTTATTGTCATTAAGGCGGAACAAAGTTCGCCGGGTNGAGTCAATGTTCGCTCGTATGTGAGGCCTTGTCGAATAGTACTCTTGTAGGGGGCAATCGTGCGTGTTTTGTTTTCGATGTAAACTCGCGGAGATGAACAGGCCTGCTAAAACTTAGATTAATTAACAAAACACTTAAAATTACTTTACACCCTTTTTATTACGAGTATACTTAATACAATTTATCCCGATCCCGACCCGAGTATTATATGTATAACCTTAAAAATATACAAACAAGTAATTTTAACTTTTACATTAATTATAAATTGCAAAACTCCCTTGCGAGTGGATATTTTAGTAACAGTATTAGTAAAACACTGGTGGTAAGAAGGCTTATAGGTGAGCTAGAGCTCCACCAGCCACAACAATGGTTTCGCCAGTGACGAAGCTGCCATCGTCCGATACCAAGAATGCGACCGCCCCAGCAACCTCTTCCGGTCTTCCTAGCCTTTTCATTGGGACTATTGATAGAGACTGCTCTCTTGCAGATTCTGATTCAGTCAGCTAAAACAAAATTATCACATGCATAAGTTATGTCGGACTGGCCGACTCGTGATCTGGGGAGCGCGGGTTTTCGGTCCCCGCCGCTCGACTATCACCTCACCACTCGTGACACAAGCATATTTAGCTTAGTACGAGGGGCTAACGGAAGTATTAGTAATTGGTGAAATAACAAATTACTAATAATAATCTTTAAAAAAAATTGATACACACTACTACTGCTAGCAATTAATAGACTACAATTCATTCGATATTTACCAATCTTTTTTACCATAACGCACTTTGCCTACATCACGCACAACGAATCAGAAGTGAAAGCTAGCTTCGCCTGCAATCCTCAACGACAGAGGATCTGTCTAAATATCTTACCCGAAAAAACAACATCGTGTCAACGTTGTTGTTATGGCGACAGACAGATGAAATGGTGGCACCTAGAAGGACTTAGAAGAAGCCCTACCACCACCAAAATTTAGCTGGCGCTGAGAATCGAACCTAATATAGTCTGAGATAGGCTAGTTATATACCGTATAATAAATCAATGCTTAGAGAAAAAAAATCTTACCGCAGAAGCGAATTTTGTCTCTATGATTCCTGGTGCAACACAGTTCACTCTAATGTTATCATGAACTACTTCCCCGGCTATAGCTTTTGTAAGACCTAGAAGCGCTGTCTTACTCACGCCGTACGGTCCCAGAGGCTAAAATGAAAACATTTTAATTTTAGCAACTTCCTGCGCTTGTAAAAATATAGATGGATGGATATTTGTTACTCTAAATTCAAAGCTTATTTTGAAAGCATAGGTAAATTCTACTGGTACTATTATTTATTCTGTGGTTCTACTTAGGTAGCGCCTAAACAATTAAAGTAAAGCATACTTACAAAAATAGGCTGGTAACCAGACAAAGACGATATGAAAACAATGCTCCCACCCCCTCGTTTCAACATCTCAGGATACGCGTCTTTTGCCAACAGCCACGAACATTTTACATTAATGTCGAATATTTTGTCCCAAGCTTCTTCACTAGTCTACAATAATTAAGGAAACGTATTGATTAGGTAGTTGTAGTATTATTTTGTTAAATTTACGTGCTTACTCGATAAAATAAATAATTTATATTGGCAATCAATTATTTATACGATAGATCATTAAACAAGGGACCGGGAATCGACGATGACGATACTAATTTATCTACCTACTTAAATGAGTTAAGTAAATGCTTGTCGTAACTTTATGAACTACTAGCGGCCGCCCGCGACTTCGTACGCGTGGATCCCGTTTTACCCCTTTAGGGGTGGTGTTTCGTAAAATCCTTTCTTAGCGTATGCCTACGTCATCATAACATCTACCTGCATGCCAAATTTCAGACCGATCCGTCCAGTGGTTTAGTTAGGCTGTGCGTTGATAGATCACTATGTCACTATGCTTATAATATAATATGCTTATACATATATTATGCTTATATTATTATTGTACCTATTTCCAACACAATGTAGGTATATTGTTTTTAAATGGAATAAACTTATGACTTATGTCAGTCAGTCACCTTTGAGATATAATAATATGATTGCAATTTATGTTCAATTTATGTATTTGTTACCTAGGTAAAGTACCCTACTACTGACCTCTAGTGTGGCATCGACGGTTGGATTGACGGCAGCGTTCGAAACTAATATGTCAAGACCTCCAAACTTGTTAACTGCCTGAAAACATGATCTATAGTGCACTATCCGTTCGCTTTAGGTTTGCCGCTGACGATATGACGTCACTCGAAGAGAAGCGTCTATATGCTATAACTTTAACAAACTATATTTAAAATATTTTTTATTTATTAATATTAATAAAAATTGTGTATTTGCGTAAAATAAGACACATTAATTGCGTTTAATCACTAAGTAATTGCGTTTAATCGCGATTGGAAGAGGGGACGCGCATTCCACGGACCGGCAAACTAAGCGCGAACGGGTAGATTCGCTTGGGTTATGAGAACATAATACTTAACTTAAAAGTTTAGAGAATTCTAAAATTAAATAGGTCCAAGCCAAGGATTAAGCGGTAACTTACAGTTTCAATCAATTTCTTTCGCTGATCTTTATTTGCGACGTGACACACAACTCCCTCGACGTTGATACCGTCCTTTCTCAAACTGCTGACTGCACTATTGACATTAGCTTCTTTTCTGCTGCTTACGACAACAGACGCACCTTCATTGCCAAGTCTTTTAGCGATCGCTAATCCAATACTGAAATGGTCAATAAAAATAATAGCTATATTATTTTAATTATATTTTGTGGTATTACCTACTTACCTAAATTAAATTATCTTACCCATCAGTAGAAGCAGAAATTACAGCTACTTTGCCCATTAATCTGGTCATGGTGTGGTTATATTTGGCACTTGTATAAAAAGGACTTGCTGCTTGTTTGAGACCTTTCGATGTAGTTAACACTGAACGTATCATTTCAGTCTAAATCATTAAACGCTGTAACTGAAAATGATTAAAATGTTCGTAATTTTCAGTTGTTGTGCCTAAAAGTCACTGCGAAATTTGAATGTAGCTACCTTAGATTAATAAATCAAAGCTCTACGTCTTTAAAAACGCGCGTCAGGGTGTACTGGGACACGCCCTCGGCAAATCTGTTTTAGGTTTTCTGGTGGATAAAATAACAGTTTAGTTAAGAATTCTATAGATCCCGGGTTACATTTAGAATATCGAGAAGCAGAAGGCTTCAAGATATAATATCATTGGCTTCAAGTCTCATTCGAGGCGTGTTATTGTAATGTTACATTTAAGTTGGTACAGTAGTTAGGTACAAACTAGAGTAAAACCTTCGATTATTATTCTATGACCAGAGGCTTAGATCTAAGTCTAGAGGAAAGTATGAGTTAGACTTCTCTTATTAAATATAAATGGATTAAGTACTTATGTACCTATCTGAAAATGTCAAACTTTCTTTTAATGGGCTTATAGGAATTTATCAGTAAATAATAACCTTACATTAATAGTAGGATAACAATATTTTTGTTGCGGCTTAGGTTTTATTACCTAGTTAAAGTAGGCTAAGAAAGTAGGTAGGTACCTACTTACTTATTTATCACGTTAATACTAAAAGTTAACAAAGGTGACGCGAAAAATACCTATTGATTCTCATTTGTGGACTTAGCCATTAAATTCAAAGTTCATTATTTTTTGTACGAACACGAAGTTATCATTTCTTATCTCAACATGGTGATAAATTATGTTTCTATGAAACTAGTTTGGTAAATAATATTTAGAAAGAAAATATTTCTAATAATGATATTAGTATCAACTTCACATACCTTTATACTGCTAAAAGTTTATGTAGGTACTTCATAAACCCTATTTAGCACGATAGTTCGACTTGATGAATAGTCGAACACTATTTATTTTTACATCGACAAAACACTTTTGATACATTGTGGAATGTGGCACAACAACATAAATGAAGAGAGAGATCAATGAAAAAGATCAAACATGCGGGCTGCCTTGTGGCCTGTAGGCAAAGTCACCTTGATCAAACTATCGAGCTCTACAGTCTGTCTATAAAGTCGTGACATGAATGTTTGAGGAACTAACATTATTCATGTGTCTGGCAACACCAGAGTTCATTAAACATATGNACAAACTGTACGCGCGGAAACTACAGTCACGCTACAGTTTTACGCACCATCCTGTGCCCCGATTGCGCTAATTTGTAATCACAGATTAGAGAGTATGTCTAAAGTTTGTAATTTCTCTGAATTCATTCGCGTTTCATCTCTAGTCCACACTCCATTTTTATTCTACCTGATGTGCAGTTCGGTAAATTTCGGTATCGCGGTAAAGTTCACGCGCAAACAACGACGAAACAATGGATTTAAGCACTTTCCATTAAAAGTCCGACCATCTTGATTTTTCACTAAAACACAGCAAATGTTCATAAAGGCGTTTGACTTGCGTTTGAGAAAAAGTAGCTTTCTTTCAGCTTTTACACAAAGAAGCAGTTGCGTTTTGATTTCGTTTGAACTAGCTGTCAAAGCGACACCGCGATACGAATTTGTGATTTTCGTTATATAGTCGCGTTGTAGTTAAAAATATTTTGCGCAATCGGGGCACAGCGCTCCGACGCCGACGACGACAGGACGGCGAACGAACATCAGCTATTTTGACAAATCCGTATCGCGGTGTCGTTTTGACAGTTAGTTCAAACGAAGCTGTATAAACTTAAACGGAGCGCACCTGCACCTTTGAGTAAAAGCTGACTGAAAGCTACTTTTTCTCACACGCAAGTCAAACGCTTAACGAATATTTGCTGTGTTTTAGTTTAAAAACTAGCGTCCGTCCGCGACTTCGTACGCGTGGATCCCATTTTACCCCCTTAGGGGTGGAGTTTCGTAAAATTATTTCTTAGCGGATGCCTACGTCATAACATCTACCTGCATGCCNGGCAGGTTATAGTATACTTAGGAATTCCCACGGGAACGGGAATTAGCGGGAAAATCCTTTTGTATGAAAAATCTAAACCGCTTAAATTACACGCTTGAAATTTGGCATGCAGGTACCTTAGTAAACGTAAAGCTTAGTTGCAACAGGATATTGCAAAATTCCCACGGGAACGGAAGTTAGCGGGAAAAAACATTTGTATGAAAAAATCTAAACCGCGTAAGATAGATGAAGGGGGTAAAACGGGATTCACACGTACGAAGTCGCGGGCGGCCGCTAGTATTAAATATACAGGTGTTTGGTAGAAGTGAACGTTAGACAAACTTNAAAATTGTCAGGGAGGTAGTTTAGAGCCAGGAGAAGGACATAGGATACTTTTTATCCCGTTCGAAATTAAAAAAAAAGTCTGCTTATTTATTGCCATTAAGGCGGAACAAAGTTCGCCGGGTCAGCTAGTATTTTAATGAAAGACAACCAATGTAATGTGTAAGTTTTTACTCATTAAAGCTTTTGAGTAATAAATAAAATTTTCATATTAATGTAATATTGTAGTTGTTTCTGTCGAGGCAAACAAGCGGAGTCACCTAGAAATAGTGAGTGAGGGTCGTTTTGTACGCGAAGTTTTTATACGGTGCGGCGCGCGGGCCACATAACGGACACCTGCGGCCTCATCTACATAATGTGGACAAGTCGTTGAACTCCGGCCGCTGGACACTTTGCTGAAACTGAAACTGAAACTCAGTCGCAGCGCTTCCGCAACAAGAGTTTCAGGTGAACCTACTTGGTGTAGCTTTTGCAATAATAGCTACAATAGCTGTATGCTTGCATTTTTCCAGAGAGGAGAGCCTCTCTCTTCTTTCTCTTTGACAATGCCTACTTGGTATATTTTATGTAAAGTCTAAAAACGGTATTGATTGATACAAAGATATTGACTTGCACCTACGTAATTTAATATAATAATTACTGTTTTAGTGCCGTCTCTACTCTAGTGTGTATACAATATTGAACAGGCTGATTTAGTGCAAACACTTGAAATTATACTTTTTTTTTGTTCTTCTCTACATCCAATTTTACTAGACTGTACAAGACGCGAGTCTTTAAAAGGAAATTTGGCATTGGTTGCGATGTTATATTTGGGCTCGTAGCTACTTACACCGAAAGCGATCGGGGGTTTCATATGAATCTAATGCCGTAGGTCTGTTGAAATATTTTGATACTAAATCTAAATCTGAGCAATATTTTTAATGGGTTAGGCGTGAATATGCCGTTGTGCTGTGTTATAAATCCATTGTTTCAAGTTTTTTAAACAGTATCTCAAGTACACAAGTGTGCTTGTGGTCTGGAGTGGCCTAGTGGGAAGTGATCAAATAAAATGGCAGCCGCGAGCGCGGTTAAACGCCGCCCTGAGACTCGTAAACAGAGTTGAACCCTCGGCGGCCTGACCGCTGCATGATAGCCTGAGATAATGACATTATTATTTGTCATGCACTTATGGAATAGTGACAAAATATTTTCTTCTTCTTCAATGATGGGCCTAGGCAGCCCCAGACTAAACCTTTGGATTTCACCGCCCTGTATGTTTGGAGAGCACGTGTGTATTTATCTGCGAGCTGTAGATGTTTATGTTTACTATAATCCTATAGACACAATCCCACATTCACAGAGTCAAGCAATTACTTTACCGGAACTGGCATTTAGTGCGTTTTCTTTTCAATTTGTTGTACCTACGTGTAGATTTGTAATGACCTTCTCTTGCATTTTAAACAATATTGATGGAGATTTACACAAATGTTATAAAAAAAATCTTACAAAAATTGCGTGTTTAAAAAAATACATAGAGCTAACAAAGGTCACTCGTTTTCCTCAACTTCTTGAATAGAGATACCCAAAAATGGTTGTGATTGAGTGAGTCAATCAATGTAAAAATAGAGGAGATATAAATCTAGTGTAGTTAAGTGTGTGATTCCTACGGTATTGTACCAACCTTTGCCGATTGCCTTTGTTTATCGACGCGTAACTAAAAAGTCACACATAACTGTAACAGTTGACAGCGCCCTTCGCCCGCGAGGAAATGCAAACAAATAACATAAAAGTTTCTATGGGGTGTACGATCAACTCGCTCTTCCAGAGACGACGATTGTCTTTTATCGCAGGGAAAACGACTTTCATAAAAATCTGCATCCTTATGTATTTTGTACGTGCGTGAATCTGTTTTAAACGCCCCATTGTTCTTTCAGGAAATTATGTATGTAGGTAGGTGTAGGCAGGTATTGTACCTACAGGTACTAAATTGATGTTGAAGTTAATGGAGAAATAATGATGTAGCAAGTTCTTCCAAGCTAATCTTTACACAATAATCGTCTTAGATACAAAGGAGGAGGTTACTAATAGGTAAGTATGATAACATGTTTTATGTTTATTAACTTGAGCTACCTATTATTTACATTTTCAATTAGTAAGTCAAAAAGTACAATCGAAATGAATGATTGACAGCTAGTTGAAGAATTTATTTTTGAATGAAATAAAGTTGTATCGATATTTTTACCAATAATTTTATGTGCATTTAATCCTGCGTGAATTTAAATAGAAAGTGAAATTAGTGACTTTTTGCAGTCGCTCGTTAGGAGCGGTCGGTCGTCGGGCAGAATAAAAAAGCCAGCTACAAAATGCAGTTCACTCAGATCCTGCATGTAGTCGTTGCGGTTTCAATTAGGGCGGCGGCACACGCGGCGCGCGATGTGTGACCCGCTAGATTGATTACAGTGGACTTCCGAGGGGAGCAGAAAAACCAAGATGAGCTCATTTGTACTAACATGTTTGGATGTATACCTAGCCAAGTTGAGCCAATTCGTTTTAACCCCTGTCTCTACTTTGTAACGTCAGCGATTAATATTTATTTTTAGAATTTTTCAATTCTGCCAACTAGTTACTAGAACTAATCTTTCCAGAAAAGTGTGACATATAAAAAACCTTTTTTACTTCAAAGTTGGTAGGAAAAGCGAACTTGTGTAGTTTTCAATTGTGTTAACTTTTCAAGTTTCGGAATCGTGGCATACCTACAAAGTATGTTCATATAAATAGTTGTAGTTAAAACTTTTCTCATTTGCATGTTTGATATTGGATTCTAACCGGGAAAGGTGTTGCAGCTATAAAATAGAAAGAAAAAACCCATAAGTTGTAAAATTTATTTTTTTATTGTTGTACTAAAATATAATTGTGCAAAGTGCTTGGTGCAGAACCTCCTAAAGGAAATTCAATATGCGGTTCCAGTTATTAATAAAGATACTTATCCTTTAGTATCAGTTCAAAGAGTGCTTAGTATACCTAAGTCTAATGATCACAATATTATTTATTGCTAAAGATGTGTAACGCAATTAAACTTAAAATATTTAATTCTTAATTCCAGGTACATTTAGGTAAAAATATTTGGCACACTGGTAAAATCTAAAATATAGCAATTATTTAGAACTAATCTATGACTAGTCAATTCGATTCTTCAAATCTGTGACGTGTTCACATTAAATACAATCATTAAAACGGTTTTATAGAAAGATTATAAGGTACAATAAGCCTAGGCGCAGACCACCGATTTTTCGTTGGCCGATAGTTTAGTCGGGCAGTTGATCAGTATGGGCATGTTTGGAAGTACGCACATTACACCGATTTGATTTGGCCGATTTTTCATACAATTTAAAATCGGGCACAACTATCGGATCGGCCAACTAAAAATCGGTGGTCTGCGCCCATTCTAAAGATTATAATTATTCGTCCATTCTCTAATCTCTATTTTTCATCAAACAAACTTTTCAATATTAGGCACTGGCATATTAGAATTCACTTCTCTGTTGTATTGTAGAGTTTTTTTTTAAATCTACGGAGATATGATACTACTCGTATCAGTTCAAAAAGTTCTTATTTTGAATGTAACGTCGCTCATCATCGGCACATGTCGTCATCAGTGGAGGCGCACACGCTGTCAGGTGGCGCGAGGAACAGCTTCCCCGATAAGCAGACGCAGAGCTGATAAACTTTCATTGTTCTAATATTCTTCTGAGCCTTGTTTGTCACGTTGGCCTCCTTTAGATTACTAATGATAATATTCGGAGCATCGAATTTAATCTGAAAGAAAAAGATGTGATTATTCGTACGGTTTGATATTTTTTTAGCGCCAAGGCAAAGGGTTAATTTATTGTTTCATCGAATTAGTATTAAATGGTGTAAATTGACATGGCCATGCTGAAAGGATTCTACCAAGTTAAAAAATAATATTGATTTCAATATGCTACTAATCAGATCTTTGTGTAACGCGAAGTTAAACTTAACTTACTGATCCAACGAGAGAGTTGAACTTTATATCGCCATGTGATGTCATATCCATGCTGCCCGCTCTGCTGTCGAAATGTATCGACTGCGGCGCCTTCAAGCTCAGGCGTCTGGTCAATGATTCCAACCTGCAAGAGCAATAAGAAAACCCAGTTAAGTCTAAAAGTAAGATGAGTTTTAAAATAAGCCTATTTCTAAGTACTCCAAGGATTGATCTGGTGGCCCGCGTATAGAAACTAGAATCAAGCAATCATATCGTCCCACTACTGCAACTCCTGTACCTCTAGTAGGAAAAACTTTCGAGTTCGTTTCGTTGCGTATTCAAAGTGTCATCGAAAAATTTTGTATGAAAAATTAAACAGCGCCCCCTATATTATAGCCGCCCTAGGGGGCGCTGTTTAATTTTTCATACAAAATTTTTCGATGACACTTTGAATACGCAACGAAACGAACTCGAAAGTTTTTCCTACTAGAGGTACTGTACAGTCTAGATCTACAGTTTGGCCTTCAATAAAATCGAAACAGTGAAGGTCGAATAGTCTCATCGGATAGCTTACTGTCTTGGAACTGTCCCTCCGTTACAAAGGTACGAATATATGCTTCTATGTTTGCACTAACTGAATGTAACTCACTGTAAGTCAGATCCAGGTGGCGCGCGTACAGAGGGCGCCTGTATCGCGTTCTTGACCGTGACGCCGCCCGCGCCGGCCACCGCCAAAGTATCCGCCGCCACGCGCACCTCGTCGCGCGACGCCGAGAACACGCTGGCGCCGTGCGCGTCGCGAACCTCAAATTTACGACCGCTACACACTACGCTGTCACGCTCTGAAATATTTATTCACTATGTAAATTAACCTCTAGCAACTTGAAAGCATAAATCTACTTACGGTTCATTTTATCCGTTCCTATTTCATATTATAGAGGCAAAAAAGATGTGTGTCGTGTATATTTTTCAACGATACTGAAAACTGTATCATTTACAATTCTATGACGACCCCAGTACCCCACTATTCAAGCGGATTAATCCGAAATTTACAAAGCTGAGCTACAGCTATTATAGGTTTCGAGTTATTATTTTGAAAATAATGCTGGCGTAAAGTTTGACCCACTTGGGCGTTAGCAAATTAATTTTTATTCATTTTTTTTTTGTATAACCCGAAGGTAAACTGTATGAGAATGCCTTATGGCATTATGTTCGCCTAATGTTAAAATTTTGGCATTAAAGTATATTTTTAGGAAGGAAGCGTGACGCCATCAACTTTAGGACGCTGACGTTCGTTAGGAGTTAGTGAGGAGTCAAAATGACTGTCATAAAGGTAAAATATCATAAAAAATACATACTAATTAGTAACTTGGCCAGTTCCACATGTCGCAAAGTGTTGTTGTTCCCGAAAGTGGGTTCCGAGACCAGCACGCTGAAGTTGCGGTAAGAGTGCACGGTGACGGGCTGCGCGGGCGCCGAGGAGATTGTTGATACCGCCAGCTGGTCCACCACCCACGCCTGCCCGTCCAGCTGGATGCCGTTCTTGATGATCTTGATTGGGCCAATGCCATTCTACAATGAAGAGCATGATTGAGATTACTGAAACTCTATATTCTTATAGGGTAGGTATTACGAGTATTATCCTACTAATATTATAAGTAAATGCGAAAGTTTGTATGTTTGTTACTCTTTCACGTGAAAACTACTGAATGGATTTTGTTGAAACTTTACAGTATTATTGTTTGTAACCCAGATTAACATATAGGCTATAATTTATGCCGATATGTGACACAAAATTTCACGCGGGTGTAGCCGCGGGCAAAAGCTAGTTATCATATAAAATACTAACGACTAGCCCCTGTTTCGCAAAGTGTTGTTATTCTCGAAATTAGGCTTAGGTTGCATTAAAACTTGCGTAGTTTAAAAGATCGAAGCGTACACAGACAATGGGAGCTTTCTTGTACTTAGTTTTAGTGTATGCTTAAACTATTTCTAGAAAGTTAGACTAACCGCATTTAACCGCAACGTGCTTATAATCCAGAGGGTCAGCGCTATGTTTAGAAACACCAGCACCATTAACACCACTATGATGGCGTAAAGGCAGGTTCTTCTCCAGCCCCTGACTAGTCCGGCGGGGAGACAGACGGTGGGGCTTCGCCCCTCGCAGACGGTGGCGGGCGGCGGGTCGCCGGTCGGCGTGCAGCCCCACCCGCGGATCACGCCGGTGCTGGTGCTAGCGCTCCGGTCCTCCACGCTCATGCTGCGTGACCGCTACTTAACCCGCTTAGTGGAGATCCGCGTAATCCTGTAACAAAGGATTACATCTATTGTCAATTGGCTAAGTGGACTGTGCTATGATTGTGCACGTAAGTATCCATATAACTACCTACAGCCGTAGTACTGTAGTACAATTTTAGAGAATATTGAACAAAGCGGCACAAAAATTACAATGTTGGAACAGCAATTTTTAATTAATATGTCCTACTTTGTATAAAAGAATTCATAGCACCTAGTCACAGACTCTTTAGGTACGTTGGAACTAATTAATTATTTAATGTAATGAAAAGTCTTTTGAGTTAGTTTTAGAAATAATAAACAAATTTATACTCGTAGTTTACTACAAATACAAAGGATTCTGAAGTTGTGTGTAGTGAACTTCCACTCTTCGATGTGTTTAGTAGTAATCAATTTGTGAGCTAGACAACTCTTGACTTTTCAATTAGTTGGTTGGTAATTGAATGAAAAACAAGGTAGGAACGAGACAAAACTTGCGGATAAAGCGCACTAGTGCGAGTGCACTAATGAACGGCGGAGCGCGCCGACTAATGAATATAACACAGGGGCTTTCAAAAATACCCTTTAAATAGGCTGAATGTCGTTAATAACACTATAACAGCCTGCAAACCGGCCTATTGTTACTTCCATACTTTGTCACGAATAGCACTTTTAGTTCGCCCCGATTTATTTTACTGGTAGTTCTATTTTTCGCATCGATGCTTTAGCTCCTTTCAGTGTAATATTCGACTGTGTCGGAACATTGGCAATTTTGGTGCGCCATTGAACGATTTTATTTGTACTATACATAAATTAGATTGAAACGATATTTTATTTTATTATAGGCACCTATTTTACATAGAAATCAGGGATGCATCCACCACACCATATATTTAGTAATAAGTAATGATGCATTTAGTAATAAGTATATGATGCATAATTTTGCCTTACTATTGATATATACTTTTTTTTTATATAGTTTAATTTAGAACAAAGGATAATGATCCAAAAATTGTATTAGTCATCGTATTTCTTAAAGCCTGCGATGATAATTTATAAGTTTAACATTTTAACTAAAGTGAAAAATGAGAAATATCATAATAACATGAAGATAGAGGCAGATGCGGTAGTGCAATGCACTGAAATTTAGGAATACAGACCAATCGTGTGTTAATTAAACGGTCGAGCAATGAACTGCATTTCGACCGGTGCTATTTTCCGATTCCAGACAGTTATTTCGGCTGATTGTACGTTCGCTTAGGATTTCAGGTAAGACACGTGTTAATGCCGTTTACTCTACACACGTTCGAAGCAGATAGCTGTGGACATGATTGCGTTATGGCCAGAAACAGTGACGCAAAGTGTGCAGTTATTAGATGTTCATATGCTTGTGTGCGGCGTAGAGCTTTGAGGCTAAAGCTTTTCATAGTAATACAATAGCCTCGTGAGCCACAAAGATGGTTCGTTTACGATGTGTAGTTATTGTTATCTTTTTACATGCCTCTTAGAAATAAGTAACTAAATGTCTACTGGGTAATATGAGAACCATAAATATGCTAGAATTAAAACAAAACGCTTAAACGATACCAAATTTTATAAAATATACAAATAGTGGTGTTTATTAAAAGCAAAACATTAAACATCAAATACATAAAACTTCACATCTCGTTAGTCTAGTTAAAATAAAAGTTTACGCATGCATTCGAGAATTGCGCACTGTGCAATATAACACTTAATGAAGTTACTGGTTTAAAAAAGCAATTCCAGTGGTTTAATATACATATATGCTAGCTCGAGTATCAAGTTAAATGAAAACTTATGCATAGTGTGGTGCTTTTACGAGGTAAGAAACAAATTAATTGTTCAAAACGAAACAAAGTCCATATTATTCAATACATGCAGTGAGGTATGTCAGTAATAATACACAATACACGCACCGTCTATGAAAATCATAGAGCGAAATCCGGTTTCAATCCTGTGTTGTTTACACATACAACTCTCTGACGTGAAACGCGCAACCACGAGAAACTAGACAAATAAATCCGATATTATCGCTAAAGGTTTATTAAGCGATGCGGGCGGCTGCACCGGGCGTGTTCTGTGACTGAGACTAGGTAAATTCATAGGTGGTAGAAGCAACACTCGAAATATCTAGCGCGAGGCGAGGCGGCGTGCTCCAGAATATAATATCAGGCAGTGGAGTGGCCTGCGCGACCGTATGCCGCGGCGTGTCGGCCCTCATAATAAACGATATAGTGCGAAAATAGAACCGGAACGGGTATCGCCGTGCTCTCCACGTAAATAAAATACCGACGTTTGCAGCGTTCCTGTCTCTCGCTGGCCGCGTTTCTGTTTTATGAATGTCAGTAGTACCACGATCGATCTGATTCCAATGTTTTAAAAATAAACTGTACCCTATTTCGCGCTAACGTTCTAATTTACGGATTCGGCGGACGATCGTAACGCGCCGCGACTTCGTTTTGGTGTTGGACTAATTACATCGGGGAGGCGTTAATATTGTAATTTAACGGCCGTGGGCTTTGTTATTTATGTTACAGAACAAAATGTTTAATAGTGTAGGGTTATATGTTTGCAAGCCGCTTACGTTGTCATTTTGGAGGTCACAATCACAAACACATGGAAGACCACAGGATCACATTTGGGCACGAGTAGTTCGCGGCCGCGCCGCGCCGCGTCCGAGGCAGCACTGGCGGCGGCGTGCGCCAGCGACGCGGTGCCGATTCCTGCTCGTTTTGAAGTGCTGCATTTTTAATCGGGCGCCTGTCTCGCGCGGGACATAACTCGGGAATGCTCTGCTACAGCTGTGCTCTCCTTTATTACAAATTCTAGTTAACGTGTCATTAACTGACACCTTCATACAAAGCCCGTTAATATTTAACGTTGATGCGACCCTGTTATCGCAGAGCATCCGGGATAAACGAATGAGAATGGGTATGTACAATATTTTTGGGGTTTCGTAGGGTGTCCTTTATTAAGTAAGAAGGTAGTCAATCTACAAAACCATAATATTTTACTTAAATATTGCACGCAGTCATGTTGCATCATTAAGATTATTATTATTTTCTAAAGTTCACTGAGTGACTTTCATAAATTACTACTAGAAGTCAAAGAAAGTGACTGTTTCAGTAGTGAAAATTAGCTTTTAGTTAACACAACTGTGGTCCTCTCATCGTAGCATTACAGTAGTAAATGTCGTAGCATTATTACAGGCGCTGCTACGATATTTAATACGGACAGTGCTACGATGTTTGCTACGAATACTTACCTACTACTACGTAGTTACAAATTTTTAATTAAGATAGAATATTGACATAATATAAATTATAAATATTTTGTCTAAATAATAAAATGTAAGTACTTTTTAATGTTAAACTCACTTGAAAAACTACTAATATTTGTCTTGATTTGTCTTCACAACTTAAATAAAACTTTGGAAAACTTGGATTCTATCTTTTCATAGAAGCAAGCTTTTTTCCAAAAGTGTTGCATGTTTGTAAGGCTTTTTATTTTATCCGTACAAGTAACGTAACATACTTTTGATGGATGTTGGTGTAGTTATAGTATTTTCTGTTTTATTAACACTGTAACTATACATTAAACGCGTAGATAATAAAACGAAGGGAACTTAAGGATGCAAGTTTATGTTTCAGACATAGAGTTGAATACTTTATTGTTGTTTGTTGTTTTTTAGCTATGAACTATTTTTTATTAATTGGCCTCTATCACTTTTGTATAACCAGACAACAAAACACGCGATTATGTCAAATTTCAACAAACGTGTTATTTAAGCTTTGACGATTTCAAAATCGTTCGTTCCCAATTGACTGAGCCACATCACTACAGAGACTCACGGCTCTATCCACATAGAAATAGGTATTGTAAAACTCAATTATATCGGCGCGTTTCACGTACGCCGCGGAATATCATGATCCATTGCGCTGAGCTTTTATTTTCGATTTTAGAGCACTTTCGTTATGTGAGTGCGTCGGTAACTTCACCAATGGTTAATCAATTTTTTTTCCACACTGGTAATAATATTAAACGCACGGCTTTACACTGACCAGTCTTCATCGAAGAACCCTTTGCACGTTTATACGCAACGAATGTTCAGATTGCTTAGCAACCAATTAATACAAGCACATATTGAATTTAATGAACTAAAAATATTTATCCCTCGTGTATGTGGTTTATGAATGAATGGACATTGCATTTAAAATATTAATGATCGAAGTTAAATCTTATTAATTATGTAATCAAAAAATGTCGCATAAATATGAGATTTGACTTTCGAAATCTTAATAAATAAAACTAAAATGGGAATGTTACATTTTGGTAGGGTAGGTGATATTCTCATTCTATCATGAGATGAGCTGATTTCTGAAAAATTACTCTGTGGTCACATACATTGAGAATCTTAAAATTATTGGTACTTGGTACGTAGTTATAAACTTTGAATTAGTTTGTAAGAAGAATTAACAGTGCATAAAGATGTACTGAGTCTCCACCACAATGCAAAAGTACAGTTTGTAGCGGAGGATTGTCTTTTTTGATATCAATATTATTATGTACATCAGTAATAACCGACCCAATTGGCCTACTAAAATAATCCAGGACTAGGCATAGTGTCAGTGACAACATAAAAGTTTACACTTGCGCGTATAAAGAAAGGACTCGTAATAATCCGGAATATTTCATGTAGGGCCCTACAAAGGCCCTCTTGGAGAAGTCATGAAATCATATTGGACGTCACCGAATGTTTCATGGAAGTTTTATTGGGCTGATAAATGGGGGCCCCGGGGACAACACGAAGCACTTTTTTGATAAGTAAACCAGAAAAGAAACGGACATTCGGGGCTATTGAGAGCGAAGAGCACTGAGATTGTCGTGTTTGCAATATTTATATAGCATTTGTATTTAAAAATATGTAGGTACATATTCTTGTAATGGTGTTTTCAGTATTTTTATGTGTCTCGTTTTTATAGTAAGACTAATGTGCTATATCCATTAGCAAAAAGTAAAATTAAGGAAGTAAGTGCAAACCGATAGCACTTAAAGAAAAAAATGTATAATCATACATAGACTGATTTTAAAAGTCTGCATATGCGTGTAATATGAATTTGTACTGGCTAAACTATTCGTCTTCTTAGTAAAATTGAAAAGTTTCCTAAACCTTTTTTGATAGAGACATCAAACGCAACGATTTCGTAAGCAAACAAAGGCATGCCGCTGTATGTATTCTTCGCCTCGGTATGTATAGGGAGGTTTCAGGCACAGTTCCCACTCGATCCTGTTTTAGGAAACAATCCCCGTGATCCCGCCGTGATGCCGCATAATGGAGTCCTGCCCGTCTCGGGCGCACCATCGCACTTATCGGGTTAAATAAAAGGTGCTCTGTGAAACTCAAAAACCTAATTCTAAAAGATTGGACGGAAAAACGAAGATGGAATAAAATGATGTTTGTTTAAGCTACAGTAGCGGTTCAGTTAAGTGGAGGGATTATGTATCCTTATCCCTCATTATATTTACCCACATTTACTTCCGGTAAGCATTTAAGTCTAAGCATATAACATATTATATAAAAATGTTAACTAGGTGTGTACAGTTATTGTATAAAGTTAAGTGTTACGTGTGTTGTATATTTTACTTGAAAATAACGTCGACTCCATTTATGAAACCGAACAATACCGCGGCTATGTCGCGTGGGTCCGAAGCCAGAGTTCTCCATCATACCTGCGTCACTTGAAAATTGAAAAACTTTTGCAATGCCTTTCTTATGGAAATAGTTCACGTTTACATTTGAGTGAGTTGTCATTGTAAGGATTCAACTCAGTCTTGTTCGAAAGTAATTTGCGTGTACGAATACAAACTGTAAGTAGGTACTCAGTTACTCACTCGTGCGAGCCGTCACACGCAGTTTGTAGAGCGGTTTAAGTACAAAAAGCCGAGCAGATATTTTTGTATGATAGCAAAATGCAAACCCCGCGATAGCTCGTGTAAATCCGCATGAAATATTGATACAGTTTCGTGTAAACGTGTAACAAATGCGGTAATTTAAGCCACCTGCCGGCGGCCGCGACTCGCGCGCTCTATGCACCACTTTTGAACTGCTTACCTTATGTTGCTGCGATTTAATGCTTTTTTGTTCACTACCAAACATTATTGTAATATAGAATACTAGTAATATTTTCATGCGTTGAATTCAGATGATTTCAGTAAGTTTAAAAGATTGTACGCGGACTTATAATTTCTGATTTACATGTTGAATGGGATTTGTTTACAATCAAAAGTACTTAATTTATCTTAGCTTAATAAAATCATCATAGCTTAATCGAGTGTTGATTGTAGACTATATATAAATTAATTATAAAACGATCGCCCAATAAATTCACACTTTTGATAATTCGCATCAATCAATTTGCCTCGTTCACGGCTCTATGCAATATTGCCACCCGATAATGCTTTTATCAAAGCTAATTACTATACGATTATCAATCAATATTGTTTTGCGGTGTCAGGTTAATATTCGCGCTTGATGATCTAAATTGAGTGTAAATATTCCGGTACGTGTATTATTTGCAGTCTTGTCTCAATTTGGCACCGGCACAAGTCCCTTATTGTAGGGCCTCCATATTTAAAACGGGTCGGGAAAAATCTTACTAATTTTGAAATTATTATTGAGAATAAAATGTACCTAGGAATTTATTTACAGTGTTTTTTAGTGTTTTTAAACATGACTTCATAAATAGATTTAGAAACACAAGAAATGTAGGGTATTTTGTAGACGCCTTTGTCAGCTTTGAGTATAATTATTTTGTCTGTTGTATTTTGTCAGATTAGTCTTTAGTCTTAGATTACCTAACCTTTAGGTAATGACATTAATAAGGTCTTAGCATACCTAATCAAATGGTGGTTGCGAAGGCGATTCAAAATAATAGTCGTAGACGGAAAGAACACATCAAAATATATCTACCATCAAACCTTGAAGCGTGGTCACTCTACATAGTAGAGTCCTCGTATTTGCACTCGCGTTTACAAGAACTCTCCTCTCTGTTCACACGTGTTGGTTTAGGACCGATATTATTAGGTAACGGAGCACTCCGACGCCTCCTCTCCTTTCTTAATTTCTTTGTTGTCCATGTTGATACGAGGGTTGGTCGTGTTGTACATAACACCACG